CTAATGAGGGTTACCTTTTGCATCAGTGATACAAAGGGGGCTTAGTTACTGAAACTTTTGCACTGCGTGGAAAATGGTAAAAGGACTCAACTAACGCTACTCAAGCGACAAGTCATATGTCTAACACCCGTTTGCACCGTCCGAGGTGCCCAGATCAGTTTTAGGTAAGATAGGTAGTACGGTAGGGGAATTGATTGGAGGTTGGATTCGTGCTTCTTGCCAAGAAATAAATTGTAGAAACTGTGTTTAATCAATGACTTGATTGGAGCTTCTATCAGCACTTGCTTGGGCACTGCCTTGAACTTGAAAAGAGTTAACCCCTGTGACGGTGGTATTAGATGATTTTTTTTTACAAATAAATCGCAGGTCTAACTCAATTTGTGCAACATTTGAGCTATGGACAGGAAGTCTCCTTTTTTCTTTATAAGAGCTTATTTTCAGAATATGATCGACTTCACTCATGTTTCACAGCGGTTACACTACAGCTGTGATGTGTGCATGACCCCACCAGTCTCTTCCGTCACTGCCCGAAGCGTACAGGCTAAGAAGGTTCCTTGTCATTTAGATGAGCTCCTGCACAATGCACAACTTGACACTGAAAAGCTTGTTTCAGAAACGTCAAAAATCGTTTTTCATCTTCATAAATGGCCGCCTTGTTCATTGTCAACCACTGAAGTACGCTGTTGACACATTGCTCAGCGATCGTGATCTCGTTTGTCCTTTTGCGCTGATCTCTTTGAAGGTAAGTTTATCATATACGGATAGAGGTCTTTCGATCTTTTACCTTTAGATTGATCCTGCTCGAGTTGACGTAAATGTACATCCAACCAAACAAACTGTTGTGTTTCTTGAGGAAGAAGCCATTATCGAAGATTTGCAGAAGGTGATGATATAGAATTGATGAAGTCTCATCTGAAAATATCGAATTTTTACAGGAAGTAGAACGAAAATTAGAAAACATATTTGATAAAGAAGTTGCACCGAGAAGTTTGAGCAAGAAGCAGCAATTGCTGACACCAACACAAATCTCGAGAATTCCTGGACAAACGCAGGGTCCAAGTGTAGGTTTTACTGGTGCGATGGAGATCGTTGAAATGTGTGCATTTGCACAACGTCACATCGCGCGTGAAATACT